AAGTTCTTGCATGCCATTGTAATTGTAGAACAAAAGAATGCACACATTGCCCTCGCTCTTCCCGTACGCATTACCGAACGCAACACACGCTCTACCAAGCAGTCGTAATTTTCCACGATAGGATATTTTTCGACAAACGTTATCACCGATAGAGGTAAGAGAACGAGTGGGGAGCGAAACAGAGAGAAACCAACCCGATTCGAGGGGCACAAACGTCGTGAGAAACGAAACGCAACTTATTATAAGTATAAAAAATATTATTTTTAATAATAATAACCAGTTTAAAAGTGTTTTACACAGTAATAGTATCAGAATTAACACTTTTTTCAAAAGACTTGGATACTTTACTTAGTACATGTTCTATATTAGGAATTATAGAATCCCATTTTGTAGTAAAATTATAAATACCTTTCTGGATTAACATCCAAAGATGTTCACTCATTATAGGATAGTTTACTTGAAAAACATGAAATGTTTTAAAACATATATCGATTGCCTCTAAAGTACTATTTGTTTTGTATAAAATATCATCCACTTGAACGTAAGATTCTTTAATTTCATAAGGGGACCCAAGAACAATTATATACTGTTGCAACGTAATTTTCAACATCTCAGCATGTTTTCTTGCTTCTTGTTTGATTAGAGTCATATCTCCAGGAATCTAAAAATACAGAATAAAAAATATTATAACAGTAAACTAATTTGTGTGACATGGAACTTAAATTTTATTATAGAACTTTAATTAATTTTAAACTGTACTAACGCTTGCATGTTTTATCAGGCTCTCTTTGGCATTAGCTATCGAAGGTTTGTAACATTTGCCTTTATATTTTTTCAATCCTTTTGGCGGAATTAAGTGTGGCAGTAACATAAGACCTACAGCCACTTTTGTATCTAAAAAAGTAAATTTATTTCTTAATATATTCATATTTCTAATTAGTTTTTGTACATTTATCAATTTCTTAATTATTATTAAATGTATATATTTTTCTAATTATAATAATAGATAAATATTATTAATAAAAAAATAATTACCGGTTGAAATGTCTTTATCTTTTAATTTTTCCAACATTAAATTTACTTCGTCATGTCTGGTGTTAGATGTTGAATATTTGATTATTACATCCATAAATTGTTGCCAAATATTTAAATCTAAACTGACTTTGCTTAGATTCATTGCGTCGAAATCTTGAACAATTAATTGATATCCTTGTGGATGTTTTAATACAGACCATCTATTAAGGAGATTATGCAAAGTTTTTTCTTCAGAATTATTAAGGTCCTTGCGCCTGATATCAAAAGTAAGCAGCCAATGTTGGAGAACTAATTCTCATGGAGCTACATTCTCATCTAACCATTTGATACTTTCTTGCACTTTATTATCTATTTCCTGTAAAGCTGCAAATTAAATTATGTATTAAAATTAAATTATATTTTAAAAGTAATTATAATTTACTTTATTCAGTTCCACAAACTCAAACCGAATAGAACATATAATTTAGAATTAATAGTTTACCAATAAAAAATT